GCAGGAAGTTCTATCAAAAACAAGGAAATGAAACTAAGATGTGTAAGTACAGAAATTGTGTCTTTTTGTATCAGTATGTATCTTTAATAGAAAAAAAAGAAAGAAGGCAGTATAGTCAAAACCCATGTTTCTAAAATCATAGGGCTTCATCTAGGGACTTGAACAAATAGTGATAAATTATACACTGAAAATGGAAAGTTAATATAAGCTAATAATTCTCTATCTATTTACTTATAACCCAATGTATATCTCTTGCAGGACTCTATAGAATTCACCAAAATGGTTCCAAAATTTATATAAAATATACGATATTGAAAAAGAAAATATATTTTATCACACACAATAATTATAAATCTAAACTGACAAAAATGATGTGGTACCAATAAAGAAAAAAAGCATAGTAATGATGTCATCCAAATCAAACCAATTTCGAACAGTGACCTTTCATATTTCAAACACGAAAAATAAAACATTTTTAAGCAAATGTGGATGGAATAATTAGTAACAATAATTAGTAACAAATTAAGTAAAGTAAAGAAAAAGGAGTCTTTGTTCACCCAGTACATACAAAGTATCAAAGAAAGAATAATCAGGAGATAAATACTAAACAAAATAAAATTTAAAGAAAACTGGAACATTTACTTGATGTATAAATGAAGACCTTTTAATAATGAAATAGCATAAAGTACATAAGTTCAGTTCAATGAGGAAGAGAATACTGCAAATAGATGCTACTGAATGGAATAATACCCCCAAATCATACAAAGCATAGAAGCTAAATTACTTTTTTGCTTTCTATTAAGTTTGAATTTCTCTCTTTAACTAAGTGATAACTCATAAAGAAAGATATAGATAGTAATCATGTAGAACAATACAACTTCTTTTGACAGTGATTAATAACTTATAAATAGTAGTTTGAGCTAGCAAGTTATCAAATTTTAAATAATTATTCTTTTACTGTAATGGAAAATTTGATGGAATTGTACCTTCCATAAGGTTGTAGGGCAAACTGGCTGAGAAAGACTTTAAATACACTTCTTTGATTGTTTTCAGAGATTTTATGCTTTTCCATCCTCGAACTCTACAACAGAAAACTAATCCAGGGTACTTGCCATAGGCTGCATCCTAAGAAGAATTCAGAAATGATGGAAAGCTCCCAAGATTTATTTTTATAAATGACTCAGAGGACAGAATAAATCTCTCTTCAACATTTTAAAATTTAACAGCATAAAGGTTTGGAGGGGGAAAATGTCTGGTATAATATATACCAAATATTCCAAATTTTACCTCTGAGGAAGATAAAGCAATCGTAGGTGGTAGATGTAGTGAAATTAAGCCTTAACACTTTTTCTTTGTCGGTTTAAATAATTTAACATTTGAATGTAGAAGTACATGTCTTTTGTTTTGCTTATTGCTGTTCTTATATTTTTGAACATGGTTACTCTGTATCCCAAGTTAGCCTGGAACTCACTGTATATCCCAAGCAGATCTCAAACTCACAGCAATCCTCCTGCTTAAATCTCTCAAGTTCTGGGATTACAACTATGCATCACAACACTGGTTTAGATTTTCATAGCTAAAAACTACCCAAATTTAATAATAGGTTTTAGTGAATTTCACTAAAACAGTGACATGAAAGCTTCTAGCTTGCTAAATTTATGATTACACAAATAGTGTGACTCTGTGCCAGGTGTTAAATGAAGTGACAGTAACCACAAAGATGACACAAAGCACACTCTTCTGAATTATGCAAGAACAACTAGGAAGCTGGAAACATACTGTGAATCAAGAAGACAGCCTTAGTTTCCATGGAATGACAGACAAGCCTATACTCAAGGCCAGAGACTAAACATCTGCTTAAGTGACTAATAATCCAAAGGAATGAGGAAGATGCTATAGACAAGAATTCCATAAAGTAGATAACTTCACTCAGTCTTGAACTCATGGATTCTGCTGTGTCATTGTTGGGTATTAAGCTTCTACTTTCATCACACACATACACTCAGAATCAGTCCAATAACAACTATATGACTTAGGCCCTCTTAACCTCCAAGTTTCTACTATGAAATAGCCATGGCAAGCACTGTCATTGGATGCATTCACTAAGATTAAGAGTCATTAGAGTCAACAAATTATGGCATATCAAATTGAGTCAGACTAAGCTCATCCCTGTGCAACAAGTCTGGGCTAGGCACCCCAACATGGGATATAAGTTTGGAAAAGGCAACTCAAGCACCAGAGATAGTTCAGTGGGTAAAGGTGCTTACTGACAAACCTTACCATGTGAGTTCAATCCTCAGGACTGACATGATAGAAAACAATCAACAGAATCCTGCACCTTGTCTTCTGAATACACACAAACATTCACACACACACACACACACACACACACACACACACACAGGAACACACAGAATAAATAAAAATAAAATAGTTTAAAATAAATTCTAAAATTCTGGGAAAAAAAAAAGAGGTCATTAACTCCAAGCCTCAGCCTTGATTGTAACTTGCTTGGGTTTGATGAGTATAGGCTCTTTGTCCACTTGTTATTTGCAAAGAGGCCAAGGACCTGATGTAACATTGTGATTGAAAGAAATCTCCATAAACACAATTTTTAAAAGATGGAATATGTATTTGAATATATAAAATATAAGTAATATTTAAGTCCAACTACATAGAGTGGATTTGCAGAAACCTATTTTATTTTCTATTTAATTATGTTCACTCTAGTAATGAAACAATTCATGAACAGTGAAACAGATTGTAAATATGAAGTTAATGATAGTTCAGGGTTTTTCATCTTTTCAGTAAATAATAATAATATTACATATTTCAAAGTTTTAAGGTCTTCAGAAACATATTTTTCTGGTCATTATTTCCTACACAACTGCTTATATAGTGTTTGTATTGTATTAGGTAGTAAGTAATTAAAAATTTAGAGATATTTAACAATGTACACAGATATATGTAAGCAGTATGTCTCTTTATATAAGACTATGGACATACACAGATTCTGGTGACTGTTGAGGTCCTAGAGCAACTCTACCATTAAAAAGGGGAGCTGCCTATATTTTATGAAAACAGGGTTATGTTTGCACATATTTCATATTTAATAATTAGCTGCTATTAGTAGGGTTTTTGTTGCTGTTTTTGCTCCTAATCCTTTATTCTTTGTGTTCAACATTTCTCTCACTTTCTGTTTCTATCTCAATAAAGTATTACTGTAAACATAAATATACTCTCCTATGATTTAGTGAATACTGAACTCTAAACCTCTGTGTAAAAATAATTTTTGTACATGTCATATTTTCTTCAAGGTCTTCATAGTTTTCTCAGAGCAAAAGATACATTTTAGCCATTATCTTCATCTATCACTATCTCTATAAGCCTTTGTTCATCTTTTTTTTCCCTAAGTCTTTCCGTACTAAGATAGTGTAACAGCATGGAAGGGCTTTCACTTACCTTTGCTCCATTAATGACTTGGTTTAATTAGTATGTTTGTAAATTTTTTATTTATCATTGTTGTGTGTGTGTGTGTGTGTGTGTGAGTGCATGCATGCATGTATGAGTTAAGGTGGACATGGAATGTGGCACTCCTGTGTGGGTATCAGAAGAGTATTTCACAATTAAGTTTCCTTCTACCACTGTAGGTTCTAAGGATCAAACTGGGGTAACCAGGCTTCTTCTGTGGCAAGTTATTATTTTTCTACCCAGTGAGCCTCAGTGAGTATGATCTATATTGAAACTTCCTTGTAGAGAATCACTTTGGGTATTCCCAGTGTGTAACAGGGTCCTGCTTGCAGCATGGTTTGCCCACTTGTGGCATGCCAAATCACAGCAGTAATTAGTGATGGCCCTGTGCTCCTTTGTGGTAATAATGAAAGCAAAGGCCAGAGTTTATTCATTTTTGTACTGGTGCCAACAGAAGAGTACCTTGTACTTGTCTTGTAAACTTCCTTTTAGACACTGTTTACACACACACACACCACCGGCAGCAGCAATAATCTAAGTTGGTTGCAGAAGCTTCAGTTTCATAATTATCGAGTGCTCTGCATGTGAGCTCCTCAGTTTTGATGGATTAGAATGACACTGATGTGGAGGAGTTTTAGCATACATAAGTAAGAGAATTGAGATTTGGTTGAGCCCATAAACTAAGAAAGAAGTTTCAGATCTCATAAATGAACCTATTACTAACCCAAGTCTTGTGTTCACATGTGCACAAACATAAGTAACTATATTCACACAAAAAGAGGGAAAATGTAGCAAACTTTGATAAATTAATTTATCAAATAAAACTTTGATAAATAGAGAGCTCACTATATACCAATCTGAATCCTGAAAAAATAGATTATTAGATAAAAAACTACCTAAATATGAAAAAGTACAAGGTATTAAATGATGGGGTCTATTTTATTATGCTGTATCCAAACTTAGTAAATAGCTCAACCAACATTCTTTCATTTGATGACTAGTCAGGGACATAACTCAATTTTACATTATGGATCTAATTATGAAATTAACTTAATATAATAATTAAATCAATTAAAATATTTTTAGAAATTGAATGATATGTAGTGAAATATTTGTTTCTCTCTTGCAACCTAAACTTTTCATAATGAGTAATATTCAAACATACTTTTAGAAAATAAAAATACCGAAGCATTTGTGAGGAATAATATTGCTAATGCTTGAAGGTGTTTTCTATCAAAAATTAGAATGAGGCACAATGGTCATTGTGGAGAGTTCATTAATGAAGAGATTACATGAATCTCCAGGGTGTTTAACTGAACTTGCAGTGAAATTGATAAAGCTTATGTATTGGAAATACCCTGTGGCTATTATTGATTTAGAGTTTGGGGCACTGGATATAATTTGAATACAAACAAGCTATTCTAAGAAAGAAATTTACATATAAATATGACTATATAATATGTAATTTAAATTAATGTGCACATATAACAAGGCATGTATTTCTTGTGGAGATCCAGAGTAAAACATACCTGGCCAGGCTGAAGGCATCATCAATCAAGCCCGCACGGTTACTGATGGAAAGTACCTATGAGGCCAGTTAGGAAAAAAGAAAGGATGGAGGGGTGGTAATTCTGATAATAAAAATGATAGGTATTCACACTTCAAAACAGATCACTGATACACAGATCAAGGATGTACCTCATGGTTCCTGATTAATTGATCAATGAGTAATCTCCAGTTCCTTAGGTCATAGTTGACTCTAAAGTAGCCAGTCTGATTAATGTTCCCAAGGATCCAGCTTCCTTTGTCCATGTATGCTATTCTGTGATGTTCTGCAAGTAGCATTGGAAAATAAGTAGATTTTTAAGTTTTTAGAGTTTAAATGGAATAAAGTAAGCATTTTAAATACCAGAAACAGCATTACCAATAATTGAAAGAAAACGTCACCCTAAAATGCAATGGAAATGGAATATTTAATTAATCCCTTCCATCTAAAATTGAATAGAAAATTTTATTTTGTTATAATTATTATACCAATTAGTGATTTTTTTAAAAAATAATTAACACTTTTGTTCTTGACAGAACTCTATTCTATTCACAGTTTTTTGTTCTTGAAATTAATGGTGTCTAGAATTCCCCCACCATGTTAATATGGCTTTTAATTAGATTGTAAGTGTATATGCAGCTAGAACAAAAGACATCTTTAGACGTATATCCTATTTGTTTTATTCAGGATACAAGTGGTCAAAACAATAGAGGTCACTTATTTAAAAGTCACTGTTCTTTGTTCTTTCTGGCTTTTTTTTTTTCATGTTTACTTAGGAGTGCAAATAACAGACTTTCCAAAACCACCAATAGTGACAGAACAAACAAACCTCATTTAATCAAGACTCTAACAACTCCACACAGAATTAGGAACAAGGAGAATGCATCCTTCCTAATGGAAAGCCTTAGGAAAAATTGGAACTTATATTCACCAAGTGATGCAACTTACAAAGGCCAAGAAAAATGTTATAACCCCTTCCATATTTAACTCTTTCAAATATAGCAGAGAGTTACTTTTGCTTATGGAGAGTTAACAATCACAGACTTCACAAAACAATCAGTAACCATTGTAATAATTTCCCTGTTGAAGTTCAGACTCATTCTTCATGGAGTTTTCACAGTGAGGTTGAATTAAAATTTGCAGGCACACACAGACACAATCTGACAGCAGATGGAAAACAACCAACAGAGAATAAAACATACAGGTGTGTTTTAACTTCTATGACTCAACAAACCCATAGAATTTTTATCAAGATTTTACAAATCTGAATCAATGTAATAAACAAAGCATGCTTGCAATCCTTTAAGAAAAGGGATGTATAAATTACTCTCAAGTAAACAGTACACAAGAAAATGTTGAATGAGGTAGACTAATCCAATGTATATTACAGACTAGCAATTATGAAAAATCAGCCATAAAGTGAGATGTAATAGAAGTCAAATTTATGTTTTATATCCTACTTGTACTGTAAATATGCTGTGGTCATAGGATCTAGGGAGAACCTACTGATGTTTTGCTAAATAGACATGTTGTCTAACTGCCGTCTAAATACTTATTCTATTACCCATGAATCTATGCTGCTCTCATCTTTCATCTGAGAGTGTTAGGGTAACTGTGGACTCATAAAATGAATTGGGAAATGTTCTTTATCTTTCTATTTTGTGGAATAATTCTAGTATTATTAGCATTAACTCTTCTTTGAAAGTCTGATAGAATTCTGCACTAAAACCATCTGGGCCTGGGCTTTTGGTTTTGTATTTTGTAAACTTTAATCAATTGTTATATTTAATTGGGAATTATAGGTCTATTTATCAGATCTTGGTTTAACTTTGGTAGGTAGTATGTATTAAGAAAATTATCCATTTCTTTTAGACTTTCTAATTGGTGAAATATAGATTTTAAATTAAATTCTTCTTTTCTGGATTCCCATGGTGTCTGTTTTTATGTTGCCCTTTGATTTCTAATTTGCTAAATTTGATATTCTCCCTGTGATTTTTAATTTGGATAAGAGTTTGCCAATCTTGGTGATTTTCTGAAAGGGCCAACTTTTCATTAATCATTAATCATTAATCAAAGAATTAATCATTTCATTAATTCTTTCTATTGTTTGATTATTTCTGTTTTCTTGATCTGAGCCCTGAATCTCATTATTTCTAACTATCTATTCCATTTTGCTGTGATTTCTTTCCTTTTCCTTTTCCTTTTTATCCTAGATCTTTCAAGTATGCCGTTAAGTTACTCATAAGAGATTTTTACAACTTTTTATGTTGACAGTGCTATGAATGGCCTCCTTCATTGTCTCCCATAAGTTTTGATATATAATAGTTTGATATTCATTTTTATATAACATCATTAATTTCCTTCCTAATTTTTGTCTTGACTCATTTTTCATTCAGTAGAGAGCTGCCCAGTTTCCATGGGTTTCTAAGCTTTCTGTTGTTTCTGTTGTTGATATCCAACTTTAACCCATGGTGGTCTGATAAGATGCAGGGAGTTATTTCAGTTTTCTTGTATCTGTTGAGACTTGCTTTTTGTACAATATGTGGCCAGTTTTGGGAAAAGTTCCATGAACTGCTGAATAGAAGGAATATTTGTTTTGTTTTGTGGTAAAATGTTCTATAAATATATTTTAGGTCCATTTGGTTTATGATTTTAGTTAGCTTCAACATTCCTCTGTTGATGACCTGTCTATTGGCAAGTATAGGATACTGAAGTCACCCACTATCACTAAGTTAGGGTCAGTGTGTGATTTAGTTGTAGTCTTGTTTCTGTTATGAACTTTGGTGTCCTTGTGATTGGTGTATAGGTGTTAAGAATTGAAATGTCATCTTGGTGGATTTTCCTTTGATATGTAACTTATATATATTGAATAAAATGAAACCACAACGTACCCAAACTTATGGGAGACAATGAAAGCAGAGTTCTAGGAGGTAATTCATAGCACTAAGTGCCTACATTAAAAATATATTATACATATTATTATTTATAAGAATATATTATATATACATATATGTATATATGTACACATATATAACTTTTGTGCTCTAATAAGCATTCTAAATGAATAAATGACCCTTACATTTAAATTAAAAATTTTGGTAATTTTATTTTTAAAGTTTTCTAATTTTTAACTCTGTGTGTGTGTGTGTGTGTGTGTGTGTGTGTGTGTGTGTGTGTATTTGTATGTGTGTGTGTGTGTGTGTGTGTGTGTATGCATGCAAAGGTATGTTCAATGCTTACAAGTACATGTAGAAGACACTGGATCCCATGAAGGTGTAGTAACAGGATTTTGTGAATCACATAAAATGGGTTCTGAGAACCAAACTTGGGTCTTCTGTAAGAGCAATATATACTCTTAACCTCCAAGACATTTCCAGACCCATTTATTTAGATAATTATCATTAATGAATTTTCTGATTAAGCTGTAGAATCAAGCTGAATATATGAGCACATGACATACATTTTACAAACATCAAATGATAATGTAATCTTACTATATTAAATTCATTTTTCAAAATTGTTTCTTATTTACAAATTGGATAATGGCATGCATAAATCTCATGTAATTCAATTTGTTCTGCTTTTATTTATTCTATTAAAAATCTTATAGGTAGATTAGCGTCAAGTGAGTAGGTATATTAAAACATGAAAATAATCTATATATCTTCTCCATTGCCTGACTAAAATAAGAAAGACAGTCATCAACTGTTTTAAAGCATACTATTATTAAACTTACACCCAAAACATGAAGTTATTACTATTCATGAATATTTGTATGGCTTTGTTATAAATGGGATCTTTGGGAAGCAATTCCCAGAAAGATTTTGTAATAGATTTTAAAATGTCTTTGCAGTACTGGTTAATTACATTCCCAAAATGTTCTGCAAATTAACTAATAGCAGGCAATGAATTTTAAAATGATCTTTTCTGATGGCCTAATGAGGTATGGTGTTTGATGAGTTCTGTAGAAAAAAGTATGGAAGTTATATTTCAAATATTCATAATAATAATTGAAAATCTTATTTTTGTCCAAAAATGGCACAAATCTCAAGGCATAAATGAGTTGGTATTTTATAACAGGTTTTACTATGTAGCAACTATGAGAATGACAGTGGAAATAATATTTAAGCATTGCTAGCCAAATATGCTACTTGTAGAAAATGATAATTAAAAATAATATAAGTAGAAAAGTCAGCTAGAATGGCGTGTGTAATCATAAAGGAAAAATTAATCCATAAAAGATAGCTTATGTTGATCTTTTTCACAGGATGTTCGTGAAAATCCAATGAAACAATATCTGGTGAACCCCATAAATACCTGTATACAAATTTCAAAAACACTGTGGGTAACTAGCAAAGTTGCAAAGCAACCTATCATACATATAAGTGTGTGTGTGTGTGTGTGTGTGTGTGTGTGTGTGTGTGTGTGTATGCACGTGTGTGTGTCCAGGAGTTGAAGAAAAGAAAAAGAAAAAAAAAGCTCCTAAAAGGAACCTTTCACTTGTCTACACAATTGGCACACTGGAGAGGCATTCATCAAGGTTTGATCTCCACATTTGTAAAATGTGGATAAAAGATAATACTGACTTTCAAGGTTTGTGGATTGTATGTTAGTCACTTAGGAGGAATGCTATACATAATGTCAATTTTAATATTTTGGATCCAATTATCTTCAGTGTTGCATTTTTTCTTCCCTGGTGTTTGGCATTAAATTTACCTCCCTCCCTTAACCACTCAGGAATAGCTAGTTAGCACACAAGTTGTTATATTCATAAATGTTTGAATTATTTGTATTTCCACAGTAATTTAATCAAAAATTAAAACACTGTAACCTGCTTTTAAAAACATAAAAGCCTGTATAAATACTACTTTCAGACTATAATGTACTTTATATAATTGTTGGTTGAGTATCCATTCAATGTGTCTTTTAAAAGAATTGCTAATAACATGTGATTAATTCAATCAAATTGTATGACAAGAACTTCAAGAAGTATCAGACTGTCCCTTCTCTCACCCAAAGGGATAACCTAATAAAAAAAAGATGGTTGCCACGGAGTGAGATTTAAAATGAGGCCTCTGTCCAAGAGCAGTATAGCTGAGTCTTGTGGTAGGTTGATTCCCTGTTTTCTGAGAAACTGTCACACTGACTTCCAAAATAGCTGTGCAAGTTTGCACTACCACCAGCAATGGAAGAGTAGTGTCCTTGCTCCACATCCTTTCAAGCATGAGCTGTCACTTGTGTTTTTGATCTTAGCCATTCTGACAGGTGTAAGATGGAATCTTGAAGTCATTTTGATTTGCATTTCCCTGATGGCTAAGGATGTTGGACATCTCCTCAAGTGTTTCTTAGCCAATTGAAATTCTTCTGTTGAGAATTCTCTTTTTAGATCTGTAACAATTTTTAACTAGATTGTTTGGTTTGCTGATATGTTGTTTCTTGAGTTCTTTGTGTATTTTGAAAATCAGCATTCTGTCAGATTTAGGATTGGTGAAGAACTTTTTCCACTCTCTGGGCAGCAATTTTGTCCAATTGACAGTGTGCTTTGCCTTACAGAAACTTTACAATTTAATGAGGTTCTATATATTAATTATCAATCTTAGTGCCTGTGCTATTGGTGTTCTGTTCAGGAAGTTGTCTCATGTGCCAATATGTTTGAGATTATTTACCACATTCTCCTCTATCAAGTTCATTGTATCTATATTTATATTGAAGTTTTTGATCCACTTGGACTTGAGTTTAGTGCAGGGTGATAGATACCGATCTATATGCATTCTTCTACATGCCAGCATCCAGTTTGACCAGCACTACTTATTGAAGAGGCATTATTTTTTCCATTGTATAATTCCGGATTCCTTGTTGAAAATCATAGGTGTGTTGATTTACATCTGGGTCTTCAATTTTATTACATAGACTCATGTGTCTGTTTTCATGCCAATATAATGCAGTTTTTAATACTATAGCTCTGTAGTAGAGGTACTAAGATTGAAATCAGGGATGGTGACACTTCCAAAAGCTCTTTTATCATACAGGGCTGTTTTAGCTATCCTGGGTTTTTTTTTTTTTTTTTTATCCATATGAAGCTGAGTAATGTTCTCTCAAAGTCTGTAAAGAATTGTGTTGGCATTTCAATGGGGATTATGTTGAATCTGTAGATTGCTTTTGGTAAGATGGCCATTTTTATTATGTTAATCCTACTGATCCATGAGCATGGGAGATCTTAGCATCTTCTGATAGCTTTTTAAATTTCTTTCTTCAAAGACTTGAAGTTCTTATCATACAGGTCTTTACTTGCTTCGCTAGGATTAAACAAAGATATTTTATATTATTTGAGGCTATGGTAAAGGATGTTGATTCTCTGATTTCTTTCTCAGCCCATTTATCCTTTGTATATAGGAGGGCTACTCATTTTTTAAGTTAATGTTGTTTCCAGTTATGAGTAAAGATGTTCATCAACTGTAGAAGTTTCCTGGTAGTTTTTGGGTCTGCTTATGAATACTATCCTATCATTTGTGAATAATGATAGTTTGTCTTCTTCCTTTCAAATTCATATACCCTTGAATCACTTTAGGTATCATATTGTTCTGACTAGAACTTCAAGTACTATATTGAGTAGGTATGGTGAGAGTAGACAGCCTTGTCTTGATTCTGATTTTAGTGGAATTACTTAGAGTTTCTGTCCATTTAGTTTGACATCGGCTGGTGGCTTACTGTATATTGCTTTTATTATATTCAGGTGTGTCCCTTGTATGCCTCATCTTTATCTTGCTGTATATTGCTTTTATTATATTCAGGTGTGTCCCTTGTATGCCTCATCTCTTCAATATTTTTATCATGAAGGAGTGACGGATTTTGTCCAAAGCTTCTTCAGCATCTAAGGAGATGATCATGTGTGTTGATTACCTTGACAGATTTTCATATGTTGAACCATCTCTGCATCTTTGGGATGAAGCCTACTTGTTCATGGTGAACTATCCTTTTGAAGTGTTCTTGAGTTTGGTTTAGGATGCTCAAACTTACCACAAGGATACTTGCTCAGTTATGTTCATAGGAGCTGTTTGTGCAGTAGCCAGAACCTGGAAACAACCTTCAACCAAGGAATGCCCTTCAACCAAGGAATGGGTAAAGAAAATGTGACATTTGCAAAATGGAATATTAGTCAGTGTTAAAAAAAAGTGGGACAGGAAATATGAAAACAAATGGATAGAACTAGAAAAAAATCATCCCAAGTGAGGTAACCCAGATACAGAAAGAAAAACATGGTGTGTACTTACTCAGAAGTGGATACTAACTGTCAAATAAAGGATAATTATGCTATAATCCACAGACCCAGAGAATCTAGGTAACAAGGGAGGGTTCATGGATGGGACATCCAGATCTCCCTGGGAAGTAAAATAGTTGAGATTTTATGAATGGACTGAGGATGGGTGGGTATGGGAACATGAGCAATCAGAATGTGGGGGAGGGGAAAATACTGAGGGGGACTTCTGGCCAGGGACTTTTCAGGATCTGGAGGAAGCCTGGTGCAGAGGAACCTCCCAGGAGTCTACAGGGAGGGACCCAGATTAAACTCCTAGCAATAGTAGATAAGTAGCCTGAACTGGCCTTCTCCTGTGACCAGATTGGTGTCTGGCTCAATTGTCATCAGAGAGACATCATCCAGAAACTGATGAAGGCAGATGCAGAGAACCACAGCCAAACATTATGCGGAGTTTGGGAGTTCTGTGGAGGGGGTGAAAGGAGTATAGGATCCAGAGGAGTCAAGAACACCATGGGAAGACTCAGACAATCAACTAGCCTGGGCTCATAGGAGCTGGCAAAGAGTGAAGGGGCAACTAGGAAGCCTGCATGGGACTGACCTAGACACTTTGCATATTTGTAACAGTTGTAAAGCTTGGTCCCCTTATGGGACACCTAACAGCAGGAACAAGGGCTAGTTCTGACTCTTTTACTGGCTTTGGGACCCTACTCCTCATACTGGGCCACCTTGCCTAGCCATAAAACACAAGGAGATGCTTAGTCTTACTACAACTTGATAAGCCTTTTTTTATTGATATTCATGGGTGACCTACCCTTACCCAGGTGGAGACAGAAGAGGAGAGGATTTGGAGTGGTGGTGGGGGGGTGGCAGATGCCAGGGAGGGACTGGGAGGGAAGGATAGCGGGAGGCTATAGCCAGAATGTAATCAAATAGATGAATAAATAATAAAACAAAACCAAAAATAAATAAACAATTAATAAATAAAAGAAATAACCCATTTGAATCATTTGCAAAGTCCTAGGTTCACTGTAGATTTCAACATATAAAAATGCTTATAGTATAAAAGGCTGAAGGAGGAGATCTTTGATAATTCTTTTATTTTTGATAGAATTATGATAAACTTATAGGAGGGATTCTTTATGTATTTCTTGTACTTTCCAACAACCTTGAAAGGTTTTTAAAAAAACTTTAAAAATCATTTTTTTAAGAATGTGTTAATAAAATCGAGGAAGAGCCATCACTCCCCCATCTCCCACCCCTACCAAAAAATGAGGTCTCTGCTTCAGTATCCTTCATAGTGCATGACTAATTGTAGTCATACTTCAATTACAATTTGGAATATAACTTCATACAGTTCTAAGGAAAATAATACTAGACATATTTAATTACTTTCCTTGACTTTGAAAGAAACATATAAACTTAATATTTACATATCAGTCTAAAATTAGGCTATGTAGAAAATATATTATGCCTAAATTTGAAGAAGTTATTATCATCACTGCTTTCTCTCTTTATAATTTGTCTTTACTCACATTTTGAAACTGCTGAAAACAGAGGTTAAGATCTAAACAATTATCTGAATGCAAACAGTCCCCTGGGAGAAAATTTATATTTTACCTGATTTGTTAGACACCCAAATAATTGTCTCTGAAGACACATGGCTTCGATTTCCTACCACAATGGTTAATGGAATCTGCCACAGGTAACTGGAAAAGAAAGAAAGCTTTAAGAGTAAAAACAGATACATCGAAGAAAAGTAAGCAAGCATTGCCTATGTTCCTTCTGTGGAAACTTCATTCCTTTTTTTGTTGTTGTTTGTTTTTTCAACACAGGGTTTCTCTGTGTAGCTTTGGAGCCTATCCTGGCACTCACTCTGGTGACCAGGCTGGCATAGAACTCACAGAGAGAGATCTGCCTGCCTCTTCCCCCTCGAGTTCTGTGTATAAAGGCGTGCACCACCAATGCCCGACTCCATTCCTTTTTTATTTTGTAAAAAAATCAAAATCATCAATTAATCAATCAGTCACTCAATTAGCAAATAATTCCCAAGCCTAAAGATTATATGCAGAGGGCAAACATACCTTCCCAAGGCCAATAAAGAGATACTTGGTATCTAATAGTTTTAAATTCAATGCAAAAGAACTTCTATAAAACAATTTATCTTTCAAAAAGAGATTTGCATTTTAGAAATAAATCAACTAAACTCTATAAGTCTGAGCTGCACTGTTTATTGATTAAAATCTAGAAATAGCTCTCTTCTTTTTTTTTCTGGATTAGACTAATAGACAATTCAGTAGTTTCCTATATTTGCATATTAACATTGTTCTTATTTATTGCCTAACAAGTCTGAGGGGCACTATCGACATGTTTTGCAGAGAGATTAATATGGCACACCAAAGTAACTCAGCAAATAATAAAAAACAAAAAATAGTTTTCACTAAAATTGACATCTTTGTAAAGAATAATGTGAGCACGCTTCATGATCTGTTTTCTGAAAAGAATTTCTAAGTTGATATGACAAAGAAGCCACCAACAGGAGGGGTTATCCATGAGTCTTGGCTATTAAATGAAGCATTTTATTTCATTTATCTCTTCATAGGATAAAAATTGAGGTCATAGATGAAGTAATAGCAATGTAATCTCAAATGAGTAGCCAGATATACGTGGGAGGATTTTACAATAAATCCATCAACTTTACTCTGTTTCCTTCTTGAAATATAAACAATTTTAACCTTGCATTGTAACTCTAGGGAAAGTGGTAGCCAGCAATTATATTATAGGAAGAGAAGTACCTGAAATATAACAAGAAATTTTGCACATACTTTATCATTATGTAAATGAAAAGTGTATTGAGAAGTTATAGGAGAGAACGCCTGAGGTAATAAACTGTAATGAGCATGTCCTGGCCTCCGTGGCTGCCTGTTTTCATCAATAGTTTTCATTTTACAACAAATCAACATTTAATTCTAATTATTAGAAAAAGGCTGAAAACGTGTGTGCATGTTTGAGTTGGGAGGAGAGAACTCCTTATAAAAAATAGTATCAATGTTAAAGAAAGATCAGTATAAAGTGCTAGTGTCAACTCAGAGAAGGTAAGCCTGATTGGGTGGGTGCATACAATTCTGTGTAGATCAGAGCGTCAAGAAACAACTCGGAATATGAGGAGAAATTATGCAACATTGCAAAGTAGGATTTCATTTATTTGAAAATGCCACAAAATGCCCAACTTTCTAAGTAACAAGTGTCTAGTACAAATGTGACACTATGTCACACATCAGCTCAGTTCATGAAATTTTTAGTTATATAAGGTCTTTCTATGGTTTAATACAAGGACTATGTATAAAAAATATAACTACTAGATCATTACAATCTTCTGAGTATATTGTAGTGATATCCTAATATCCACAGAAAAAGATGGAAACAAAAATGAACTCATCATAGAAAATATGCACATCTTACCAGAAATTTTGGCATAGGTAAGCAAGTTTTATTATATCAATGGAATACATTGTGTTGCAGAGTTAGGAAGGCTGTCTGCAAAGGCCAGATAGAATTGGTATTGAATCTTTGACCAGAATGTCAACAGAGAATTAGGTGATCAATAACATAAAATTAGAATACTTCATTTCAAGTATAGATTTTATTATTTTTTAAATAGAAAATAATTCCTGGGACTAATGAGAATCTTCGCATCAGCATCACATCTCCTTTATATGTGGTGTGGCAAGTGCTCAGGGTTTGGCTTCTCCACATGTTTCTGTAATTCTTGCATATATAAATTGTTATAGTGTATGTTTACACAGCCCAGATGATACATTTTCATTTAAAAGAGCCAGCTCACAGCTAATATAATGATGTATGTCATAGACTGACAAAGTACTTTTGTACAAAATTTGTCCTGTCATCCTTTTTGTGTCCTGTATATTTTTATGCATCAGTGACACTATGTCAGGATAGCAGTTCTCAGAGGCTTGACCTGATCTCTCTCTAACTTTGCCACAACAATTGCATCCAGCAAAGCCAAGTTTGATGCCTGATGATGTTGACCCTGGACCCAGACAGTGAGGGGGTAACAGGAGGCAGTTCTGCTGCATGGACCAGAAAAAAAATAGAGAAGCACTGATGTTCTCCCTGACCACAGTGAGGCTGTGGCATGGTGATGCATATCGCAAGAATCCAGAGAATGGCTGCAATAGATGCAAAGGTCAATGTATATGTGGAGTAAGGGGTGTAAGGCCCTGATTTATTGCTGGAGAGAAATCTCAGTAGGTAACAGATTTACTGAACAAGAAGGCCTGAATTCAAATACCCAGCACCGACATAAAGTTGTAATACAAACTTGTGATAATCTCAATGCTCCTCTGGAGACATGGGAGGCAAAGCTGAGTCCACAGAATCCAGACCATCTCATCTGTCCTACACAACGATGAATAAGAGATCCTGTCTCAAACAAGATGTAAGGTGAGGACTGGTACCTGTGGTAGTTCTTTAACCTCCATGTGTGAATCTTGACACATGCAAACATGCACATGTGCACATTACAGGCATACATACAGAGACTAAAAATCCAATGTGAAATGCATTCATTAGAAAGTGTCAATGAATTTCTCAACCATGGCTCTGTACATCCATGCCTGGACCAAACTGACTTGGAAATGGTTTCTAAACCTCTTAGGTGACTATAAAATGTGTGACCAGGCCTAATAGATAATCATAGTTGATAAAGTCAGACAGATAGTTTTCCAAAGTAACAAGAGATAGCATGATTAACCCAAGCAAAAACTATAATTTGCTTTACTAATTTCATCCCCCCTCTGTCCCTTACTCTGTCCCTCCCCACCCCCACTCCTTCAGTCCACTCTCATTAGAGCTTCTCTCAAAAGAAATAGTAACTGGCTTATAAAAGTTTGATCTTTCTTTGATCAGGCTTTAAAATAAGGAACAAAACAGAAAACATGGAATAAAATGAATAAGAAATTTAAAAGAAAGTTAAAATAATAAATCAAGATTTCAGGCCAATGGGATGGCTGGGGAAACAAGACCTCTGTGAGTTATAGGCCACCCCATGATGTATAGTGAGCCTGAGACCAGCTGGGTTATAGAGTGAGATCCAGTTTTGACAAAAATCAACTGAACAAGGAACAATTCTATATGTGTTATACCTTGCCAAAGAGCTCAAGCACTGTAATTGAGAGGAAAAGAACATATGTTGATCCTACATGGCCCCACTGAAGCTTGGATTATTTTAAGGTCTACATTATGTTCCTTTAACTCAGACATTATTAAGTACAGAACTTTGGTTTAATGAGTTTTTTCTAGATTCTTAGTTTTGGCTCTCATTTGTCCTGTAAAGTACATTTGATTCAATTCCACTAAATTCATAGCAACACATTTTAACTATTGAATTTAATTCAAGAACTATTCTTGGAGAAGGGAAGATGCAAATCTTTGAAAGTCACCATGTTAATTCAAAGTTCTGCCTTCTTAAATAAATGCTGTTACATTGAAAGTTAAAATCTTGGCAGAGGCCTAGAGAGGATGCTCAATGGTTAATAGCACTGGCTGTTCTTCAGAGAACCCATGTTTGAATTCCAGTACCCACAAGACATCTAACAACTTCCTATAACTCCAGTTCCACTGGATCCCATCAATGACCTTCTGGCTTATCTAGACACCTGTCATTCACACGGTGCACAGACAAACATGCAGGCAAAACACCAAAACAACATATACATCAAATAAATAAACAATAAAGTTTTTAAATATTGAGGAAATAGGTACAAAAGAAGAATCACAATAGATTGACCTATATTCTACTTACATTTCAGAATTTTCTCAATGGTAAATTAAATATTTCTTAAAATTTTTAAAGAAAAACATTCCCCAACAATTTAAAATATCAAAATACAAAGTGAAATATTAAAAATCACAATCTACATTCAGAGAATGAGCATGTCATACCTGTTATTCTGAAGTTGGAGTGCTTTTGTTTTAGCACTGATATCATAAATGAAATGTTGTTGGGTGATAATTATTCTATTTTCTACTGTCATGTTTCCCAGGATAGTGATAACAGGATATCCCATCTGGAGTGTCCACTGATCCATTACTTCTTGTATGTTCACATATTTTCCATTCCTCTTTAAAGCCTTTGCAACCAAAATTGTACAAATTAATCCATGAACACTTATAAGCATAATTAATATTAATCTGTTCTTGTTTTTACCACTACAATTTACCTCAATAGGAAAATATTTAAAAATCAGTGAAGTCAACATAATGTGCTAGTAAAATTAATCTTCTTGCCTTGAACTTTTTATATTGTTTTGTCCCACATATATGAACAGCTGAGTTTTATAAACATTAAAATTTTTACACAGCAGAATATAAAATGTAAGTTGTTATTACAAGTACTTCTACATCATTTTGCATCCCAGACAGGTCTACTATCATGAGGGAAAATTTTTCTAAAAACTTCAGCATTTCTGTTTTGAACATGAAACATTAAAATATCATTCAAAAGTGTTGTTATGTTTCATGCACAAGACCTGTGCAAGATCGTGACAGAATCTCAATGTGGATGGCAAAGAGAGATGACAAAGTCCCACGCTTAGCTGAGGAGCTAGAAGGGCTACCCATGCCTATCTTCATCATATAGATGACCCTATTCCAAGTCACATACTGACAGCAATAAGTGACATCGGTGACATTTTTAAAAAAAGAACTTGAAATTGGGAAAGAGTCATGATGGGAATAAGAAGGGAGTCATCTGAGGGGAGATGATGGAGGTAGAATTACTGACCCAAATAGAATATAGATATTTACAAAATTATCACTTAATTAAAAATAATGTCACTTTTCAAAACAGACAAGATATTTAACCAGCATCTGTTGGTCAAGTAATTTTAAGTCTTATCTTCTTTGTATTATATAAAAATAAAGCACCAAAGAAATATGAAGAAAAAAGAAATAAAAAGTAATTATAAGCTGTCCAAGTCAATAAAAGATAATGTCTTATAAATGAAATTCAGTTGCTCAAGAAAATGCTTTGATACTTCAGCTTCCTCTACTTTACCTCTGATAATGTATTCCAGAGATCATTTCTGGCTGCATTGCCATACTTGTGAATAGTTAAATAATCCTATAAGAATATAAAATTGTAATTACCACTCAAAGGTTAAGCAATTACCAGTAAACACATTTATTTCTCAATTCAATTAACCATTTCCATGTGTGGAATTGCATTAAGGCAAAGAGGAAGACATGCAAAAAGATTTAGAATAGCATTTAAAAATATTCCCAAAAGGTTTAACTAGAGCATATTTCCTAAGTCACCCAACAATACTAATTTCTTAACAAGGATTTTTACAACTATAATCATGTCTTATGGATTCCCAAGGTCAAGGATATACTATAACTGAGCTGGTCAACACCAGCTCATTAGGAGAATATGGCCTCTGCAATGAAATACTTGGAACAAACTTTCTCATCAAACTGTTCAGTTGTTCAAAGAGAAACATACTCTTTCATGGAGGAAAAAATTCTTTAGGTGTTATGCTGATACTGAGGGGGGAACTGCCGACTCTCCATGCTCTCTCTGATTGCTCTATGAAAAGGAAATACTGACAATGGCAAAAGTGAGACTTACTTCTGTAGTTTGAAGCATACATTACTATCAACAACAACAACAAAAAAGTCCTCCTAAGTTTGCTTCACAACTTCAGCCTTAGGATCTCCCATTTCTCATTATGCTCCATGAGTAGCTAAACCTACACACTTTAATTCACACCTTAATCCCTGCCAAGAAGTGTAGTCTGTCTCATTATCGAGGTGACGGCTGTCAAGATAAGTAGCATCAGATTTTTTTTCTGATTTCAAAGTACAAAAATGAACAAGAAGGACTGATTTCTATTTTGTTTTGTTTTGTTTTGTTTTTTGTAGTTAGTGCAATTTTTTTCTTTATTTTATTAGTTCAAATTAGAAACAAGCTTATTTCACATGTGGATCCCTCTCCCTCTCCCTCCCCTCATTCCCATCCCACCTCCCCCACCCTGACCTACCCCCCCACCCCATCTACCTTCTACTCCCCAGGCAGGGTAGGGCCCTCAACCAGGGCTCCACAAGGTCCACCACATCATCCTGGGCTGGGCCTGGGCCCTTCTGTATGTGTCCAGGGCAAGAGTGCACCCTTCAGGTAGGATGGGCTCTCAAAGTCCCTTGTTACACCAGGGAAAAATACTAATACCAGGGGGCCCCTGGGGTGCAGAGGCCTCCTCATTGACATGCATGTTCAGGGGTCTGGATCAGTCCTGTACTGGCCTCCCAGACAGCATCTGGGGTCAATGTGCTCCCCCTTGTTCAGGCCAGCTGTTTCTGTGGGTTTCTCCAACCTGGTACAGACCCCTTCGATCTTCATTCATCCCTCTCTGCAACTAAGTTCCAGAGTTCAGTTCAGAGTATATCTGTGGATGTCTGTCTCTGCTTCCATCAGCCACTGGATGAGGGCTCTTTGTATGGGACAGGTCGGTGGATTGGGAAAGAAGAGTTAGGTGTTTCTGGGCTCAGGGAGCTCCTCCCTGGCCAGGCAGGTCTACTCCGAGCAGTCGAAGGCCCAGAGAGATGGGGTGAATGGGGCTTTGGACAGGAGTTGGGCAAGAGCAGAGGGTCACTCACCTTGGTATGGGACCCTGATTTCTATTTTTTAGAAAATGAAGAAATCCTTACATTCAAAATTCTATTTCTAAACAACATGTAGGTAAGAAGACAATTTCTAATATTTTTATCAAAGTTTTTGAACTGAAAAAAGTTGCTGACTTTTCAATACTTAATGAAGGATTTGGCACTTAGAAGATAATTAGCATCAGGGAAGGAAATTTCAATACAAATGTAAGAACCTGTGACAGATTCAGCTCTTGCTGGCAATTCACAGCAGAACAAATGACTGTTCCCACTTAATCATATGCACAGAGAAGTGATGTCCAACCCCAACATGTTCAACTCCATCATCAGGTGTTATGAATAACTTTATTAAACACAGAATACACAGACAACTCATGATAACCAATATGAATATCTGATGGGGAATGTACTACTGTGTGTTTATCTTATTGATTATTGAATAAAATACTGTTTGGCCAATGAGACAGCAAGTTAGACGGAAGTATGAGTCAAAGAGGATTCTGGGAAATGTAGTAGAGAAGCTGAACCAGGCAGAAGTGACATAGCAAGGAGACTCATATTTAAGTGAAAAAAAAACAGGAAGGGCCCTTTTTTTCCCTTCAGCTCCTGCTCCAGCGGCACGATGTGATCCACCAGCTAGGAGGGACACCAATAAGGCGTCTGATAAGATAAGTCTTATAAAATATATAGATGTATGATAATTGAGACTGAGCTAACAGATGAGAATCCTAGTCATTGGCCAAGCAGCATTGTAACTAATACAAGTCTCTCTGTGTTTTCATTTGGGCCTAACTCGGACACGCGGCTGTCATAAAGCTCACACATGGCAGTGGGGCTCAGGCGGCTTTTGGCAGAAAGATTTATAGTAACAAATATCAATTCAGATTTAACCAAGCTTTAGGAGGCTTGTTCTATATAAACCCAGGAACTAGGTTTGCTTGCTTTATCAAGGGAGTGCATGGAAGGAATAGAGAGATGGGTTTTAAATATGTAAGTTCAGCTTTCAATTTCATTCATTTCTTTATTTCTTTTAGCATTTAAATGAATGGACTTGGGAAGGATGTAGTATTAACTACACCACTACATGAAGAGAAACAGGCAGTCAATGGCTGCTGACAGAGCGGAATTAGTTGTATCCAGGTACAAGCTCCACTGATGAGTTATGCAATGCCAGGTAGTCAACATTAAATACACTCTCAAGGATATATAGATCATAATATATAATAACAATTACTATTATTATACAAGTGTAAGTCTCAAATCCAAGAGGTTGTAGGGAAGAGCTTGAGGGGAATAGTAGAAATGATGTAAGTAAAATGTAGTCCTTTATGAAATTCTCAAAAAAAAACTGAAAAAGAAACACATCATTTTGTAAGAACATAATAAACTAACTATTCTGAATATACTAAATTAAAATCATTCAGAGTTTGGTTCTGCTTGTAGATCATGCTTCTATAATACTAATGAGGAGAGACAAAAATACTATGTGGTCCAATTAATTTTTCATCTCATAAGCCACTAAAAGTTCTATGACTTATGCTATAAGTTGGTCTTGTTCTACTGATCATCAATAGAATACTGAGTCATCCTCCAGTTAATAATAAAGTACCACTTCAAGTGGGTTGAAGTGGTACTTGTCAGGGTTAAGTGGCAACCCCAGCCTTGGTGCCTCATTGGTCAGTAATGACAGCATTCTTCAGGGCCCCTCAAGACACAGCCCTCAGATGTAATGGAAATCTACATATGTCAAATACTTTTTTTCCCAGAAAATGACTTGTTATTTTATTCTTTTTCTTGCACAAACCCAATCATTTATTATATGAACAAAATGTCATTGCCGAGCATAATTACAAATAAATCCACAGGATAGTGAATTTTGCTCTAGTAGTTAATCATCCATTCATTAACTTCATAAAATATATAAACACTTAGCATGCCAAGGAGCTTTGTAGGCACTGAGGGGATGTCGGCAGGGGAAAGCTTACTGAGAACAATCGCAAAAATCCTAGTTGTAATTCGTGTGGAAGGACTTACTTCTATGACTAAGCCTGGAGATGCCATGGTACAACTACCATTTTGCAAGATCTATTCAAATATTTGTACATAATGAATAAAAGTGTAAGTTTCATTCAAATTTGCAAGGCAATGAATAAGGAGATTTCAGATATATTAATCTGAAATAGAAATCTATGTTTTTCTCTGGTTACATGAAAGACAATCAGCAATAGATTTAGCATTATTACATAACATTGAATGTTTTAGTGTTAATATGTAAAGAATTGTGGGTACTCCATACTAGTTACTTCAGAAATGAAGTTATTGGAAATATCAAGCAAAGGGAACCACTAGCCTATGTGAAAGTACATAGCATACAATATGGATAGATTAAAAACTAAACATGTAGTCAATAAGCATATTTTTTTAAAAGATCTACTGAGGAAGTGAGGCATCATGGCACAGGGGTTTAAATATAGGGAATCTGACATGTATGGAATCAAATCCAAGGTCCAACACTCACTAGCTGTGTTATATGTGAGTTATGAACAAGCAGCCATATTTAAGCTCTTTTTGCCTGTTTCCACATCTATAACATGAAGATAGTAAAATCTGTACTACACATAGTTACTTTTCTGAGAATCCATACAATGTTAGAGTGGTGAAGAATTCCTAATATACCCTGATAATTGTGTAGGCATTATGTCTTAATCTTTTAAGTAACTTCAGGCTGTAGGTTGGAAAACTAGGCAAAAGAAGAGAAAGTATCATTGGTAATAATGAAGAGTAAAACACATATGAAGTAAGTTTGCCTAGTTTTTAGCATAGTATGAGTTCCTTTATACTTCACTTATTTGATAAACACCACATCATCATTTAACAAGTCAGAGACTGGACAGCAGAGACTGTAGCCCATATCCAAATCACAAAGAAGAGATGCAAACAACTGCCTACTCACAGCCAGAAATCAAGGTGTGCTATAGACACGTGTGTCTGTGAGCTTATCGCCCTTCAACAGCAGCTCATTTTGGCAGCCTTTTACAATGACGACTTTCCATCCCTTCAACTACAAAGTCACCTTGATGCCGCTCCTTCCCCACTTTCAAATGATGGTTTGTGTGGAAACAACCCTGCCAAACAACCCATCCCATTCCACTTCGCTTCTTTGATGGTCACTCTCCCATGGTCACTCTCCTGAATGTTGCTCGGAAGAAGTCAAGTACCACTATCCCTCCTCTACTGCTTTCAGTTATCATGTCTACCATGAAGCCAGAATGTGTTTGGGCAAATTGTCATATGAACCACTGGTATGCTCTGAATATTATTCAAACTCTTTCATGTAACTTAAAAATATATTTCTTCAAGCCCATCTGTTTCCCTCTTGTTTCGTCGCCTCACCTGAGACACTTGGATGTTTTATAATACACCTAGTGTATCTTTTCTAACTCTCTGCTCATGCAGTTTTCC